TTAAAAGCGACGCAAATTTCTTTCTCTTTCTCGATTTTTATCACAATGGAAACTTTACATTTTTATTTCCCAGTTTACCTTCACAATTAGTGATCCAACTCGAAGCCCTTCTTGTTTGGTTAACAACTCAAAAGAAATACCTTCAACCTTCATATAATGGTCACGTTTGTTTATTTTATTTTTTGTAAATCTCCGCAAGTCACGTACTCAATTGGAACTATAAAACATTCGCGCTTTGCGCAAGTTTCTCGTGTGCATTAAGTAATAATCGATCGTTAAAACGCAGTTTAATGGCACATATTTGTAATTTCCTTTAGGGCATGTATACATTTACAAATCGAAACCCATTTTCGTGTTGAAAAAATAAAGTTAAATACAAGTTTTATATTTGTATTATCCAAGCTATGCTTTGTATGTTACGTGTACCAACTAATAATAGGTTATAATATTGACAGCTGTCATGTGTCAAAGTTCAGGTAGACTATGTATGTAAGGTGTACCAACCAATAATAGGTTATAATATTAACAGCTGTCATGTGACAAAATTCAGGTATGCCCCAATTCTGCAAAAATAAAAGTTCAGATAGACTATGCTATGTATGTTAGGTGTACCAACCTATAGTAGGTTATAACGTTGACAGCTGTCATCTGTCAAAGTTCAGGTAGACTATGTATGCTACGTGTACCAACCAATAATAGGTTATAACGTTGACAGGTGTCATCTGTCAAAGTTCAGGTAGACTATGTATGTTAGGTGTACCAATAGGTTATAATATTGACAACTGTCATGTGCCAAAGTTCAGGTATGCCCCAATTCTGCAAAAATAAAAGTTCAGATAGACTATGCTATGAATGTTAGGTGTCCCAACCAATAATAGGTTATAACGTTGACAGCTATCATCTGTCTTAAGTTCAGGTAGACTATGCATGTTAGGTGTAGCAACCAATAATAGGTTATAACATTGACAGCTGTTATATGACAAAGTTCAGGTTTGCCCCAATTCTGCAAAAATAAAAGTTCAGATAGACTATGCTATGTATGTTAGGTGTCCCAACCAATAATAGGTTATAACGTTGACAGCTGTCATATGTCAAAGTTCAGGTAGACTATGTATGTTAGGTGTAACAACCAATAACAGGTTATAATATTGACAACTGTCATGTGACAAAGTTCAGGTATGCCCCAATTCTGAAAAAATAAAAGTTCAGATAGTCTATGCTAGGTGTTCCAACCAATAATAGCTTATAACGTTGACAGCTGTCATCTGTCAAAGTTAAGGTAGACTATGTATGTTAGGTGTGCCAACCAATAATAAGTTATAACATTGACAGCTGTCATATGACAAAGTTCAGGTATGCCCCAATTCTGCAAAAATTAAAGTTCAGATAGATTATCAATAATTAAAGTACTAATTAATGAAACAATGACTAATAATATGTTTCTTGCAACTAAAATTCTAAAAAAATTACTTTGACTAGATGTCTACAAACAAAGTCTACTATTTCCGTCAGGATACCAACTATAATTGGTAATAATAATGACACTTGTCATAGTATAGTTGGTATACCTGAAAAACTTGTATGTAAATGCGTGTAAATTAATTAGTGTACTAATTAATAATTAAAATAAATGATTCATTTATTGTAACAAAATTTCTCGAAACTTATTAATTGCAAATTTCTCAATCATTCTAATTACCTTGTAAACATGTCTATTATCATTAATTACAAGCAATTAAGTAGAGCGAATGAAAAAAAAAATAATATAAAAAAAATTGGAGCAAAGATATTAATGATTTATATATTATTTTTAATTAGTTGTAAGTCTTAAGATTGATTGTGGATGTAAATCAAACGAATAATTAGTAAGTAAAAAGAAATCTAGACGAATGTTAATAAATATAATTTAATAATCACATAAATTTTGTGATGTTGTCTCCATCGATTTCATAAGGCTTTAATTTATTGGGAATTAGATCTAATCAAAAAGGATTCGTTTATGTCCATAGGGGGACTTAATTCTGATTTCAGATGAGATAAGCTGAAGAAACTAAAAAAAAATAAATAAAAATGAACGAAGAACGAGAAGAAGATGATGATGAAGAAGAAGAAAATGGATTTTGTGTTGTTAATCAAGCGACAAAGGTGATTTCTCTCTCTCTTTCACACGCACTTAGGTGATGCATGGAATTAAACCAGTCCTGAAGCCTCTCTCTAATTTTCTCTCTTTCTTTTGCCTCAATTAAATTGGGCCTCTCTGAGAATCAAATTGCTTCATGTTTGTTATTTCGGCCGACTCACAGATTGAAATAAGGAGTCGACGATGTAAAAAAAAAGAAATGTTGGAGAGGAATACCAAAAACGAAGAAAAAAAAACAATATGTATAAAAGGATAATAATGTTACAAGAGAAAATGCATCTCGCACAAAAGAATTTCAACTGGAGGATGAGTGTGTTGCACTTAATGCGAAGAAAAAAAATAATGTAATTGCTTTATTAAGACGTCGGTGATGGAGAAAGGTTTCTTCTTTTTTTGGGTTGTGGAGCGAATCCAAAAAAAATAAAACTATTTATTAACGTCAAAATTACGAGTAAATTGATTACTTTTTTGTTTTGTTATTCTCGTAAATTAAGGACAATGAATTGATGCACTGTAATTTGTCTGAATAAAGTATTTTAGTTACTTGTCAACTTACTTGTGACATGTAAGGAACTAAAAAATAGTAACATTTTTTAAGTTGGTAAAAATTTATTACTATTACCAATCACATATATATATAACTCAATAAGTTGTCTTACGCAACAGGAGTACTTGTGCAAGTTGTCAAGTTTTGTGCTTTTATTTGATTTATTATATAATTATGTAATACAATTAAAAAGAAGCAGTGATTTTGTTGTAAATCCTTGAAAAGTCGAGTATATTAAGAACTATTTTTTTATCATCTACAAACACTAAATCCTAGAATATACAGACAACGCCGTGGACAGAAGAAAAAATTCCATTACTGTTTTTGCATAATTATGTAATTAAAAAAAAAGTAATACCACGACCTGTCAATAAAACTTTAATGCAAACGTCAATAAACATTAAGACATGTGTCAACAATTTGACAGTTGTCACAATAATGAGATACATTATCAGAAGTTTACACTGGATTTGATACAATGACAAAACATGTTTCTTATTAAAACTTTACTTGTTATTCAACAAAATGATTTTTTGTTATACTTTAGTTCGCCTGGATATGTTAATTAGGGATCTAAAGTGGACACCGAAAATTGGGGGAATTTTTAGAGTAGAATAGAATAAATTTGATCTTTCCAAGAACTATTTCAGAATAGAATCGTGCGAATTCTTTGATCATATAAAAAGTGGTTTTGGTAATGGTTTAAATTTATGCTAAATTAATGGAAATAAGTTGAAAAAAAAACTTAAATTTACAAGAATTTTTATAATTGTTTTGTAATTTGAATAAGTGAATGTTTTCATTAGTAGAGATACATTTGAACTTAATCTATTTCTATTGCGTGTGAACAAAATGTTATTGAAATTCTTTAGATATTTGTAGCGTTTGTAATAACTTTCTTGAGTTTGTTGCAATCAATTTCCTTTGTACACTTTGTTATTCATTGAATACTAAAGCAATGTAACATTTAGTTTGAATATAAATTTCATTTTTCTTTAATATAACATAGATTAATAAATTAACGCAAGATTTGAATTTGCCGCCATTTGTATTTTATGATTCAATAAAAAAAATCACAATCTGCGTTAATTTTGGGACACCTTTTATAAATTTATAAAAAAATGTAAATTTAATTTGAAGAAAATTATATAAATTTATAGTAAATAAATCATCTCGATTTCAAAAAGGAAGTGATTTGCATAAAGTATATTTTTTTTTATTGAAGTGCGTATTCTAAGTAACAGAACGAAAACTGTCAAAGGTGAGTTATACAAATGACACCTGCAGTTTAAACAAATTAATTGCACTTCTCAATCTCCCAAGGTTTCCATAATTGCGCTATTGTTATTTATTTTTTTTCGCACGTGTATTAACACAAAACCCGTTTTTCTGTGCAGATGTATGTAAATGTATGTATGTATGCTACTGCGTTTCTTGCATCGATGCAGTATGTATGCTATTCTCTCTTTCACTCATTTTGTCTCTCTCTCTCTCGAGATCCTTTTGGTATATATAATGTGTTTTCAATGACACCAAAATCCGTGTAGAAAGAGGCTCCCCGTTTTATCCGTGAGATTAGTGCGAGATTTTATGGCCGCGGTCATAAACCGCGCTTTAATCTTCACCTTGAGGGCCGTTTCGAAATCGGATGCTGCTCATCTCAGGTGGAAGATGATTCTCTTGCGCACGGCGATGATCCTCTAACAACGTACGGTCAACATCTGTTGGATACTCACAATTTTGCTCATATGATAATTCGACGGCAATTGACACAGGTTTTTTATTGTTTATGGTTGTGTTTCTAAAGATAATGGAATTTTGATGCGTTTCAATAGTATTTTAAAGTTTGGTAATTGAAAGGTCTTCATCTTAATCTTTAGAAGTAATTCTGGTGTTGCTGTTCTTTGCTTATGTAATGAAACTACTAAAATACGCATATGATTCATTTAATCTACTTTTATAAGAATACATTTGGAAAAATGAAATTTTATGTATAGACTTTCAAACTTCAAGACTTAAAAGTGTATTTTATATCCTTTATAACTCAGACAACACAAATGACAAATTTAGTTTCTATAAACTTGTTGGTAATGCAGAATAAATAAGATTAAGCGAGTTTTAACCCGCAAATAATAGTTCAAAGATTTGTAATCTTTAAGTTTATTAACTGATAATGATATAAATGAGTAAAGTTTTTGAAAAGTTATGCTAGGAAAAGCGAAACATTTAAGTTGTGTATGTTGAAAACTTTGAGAAATATTTGAATATTTGATGCATGTTATTAATTAGAATTTGTATATTTGTTTTTTGTAGAGATTCGAAGATGAGTCATCACCGGGAGTCGAGCGCCTTCGTGCCTGTGGTGCCGTCCCGGAACATGCATCCGATGATGTACTCCGGGGAGATGCACATGATGAACCAAGAAATGTTAAGAGAAAACAGGACGGAGAGGGTGGAAACGCCGAAGACGGCATCCTCAAGCGAAACAAGCACCTCAACTCAACCATCCAGCAACTTCAGATCAGGGAAATCCTCTTCGAACTTTGACATCATGGCCATGATGGCAGATAAAAGGAAAGAATTAGCACTGAGGGAGGAAGCTGCTTGCGTTGCAGCAGCAGCACATGCAGCCGCATTGATGCTTCCGCACAGACCCGGAGGACCCATCCTCGAAGCGAACCCATCGCAGCCGCACCCCTATCCAGGCTTCCTACCCGGAAACAGCAACCCCACGTTCCCGTTCGCCGGCGGCGCCGCTCTCTTCCCGCCCGGACCACCCCAGATGCACGCCCACTTGGATCGGAGGCTGCTGAGGGCGCCCGGCCGTGCCTCCAGACCCAAGAAGCAATTCATCTGCAAATTCTGCAACAGACAATTCACCAAGAGCTACAACCTTCTCATCCACGAGCGGACGCACACGGACGAGAGGCCATACTCCTGCGACATCTGCGGCAAGGCCTTCAGGAGGCAAGACCATCTCAGAGACCATAGGTATGTCTTTTATTTTCGTCTTCCACATGCATTTTAATATCTCCCGAAGAGATGCTCTAGTAATTTCAAACAGCGTCGAGATGAATCTCTCTCTCGAAAACCAGTTCCGCCCGAAGCCCCGAGACGGCTGTTCCTTCTTCTTTCCACATATACGCTCTTCTCTTTTTTTTATTTTTCAATCTCCACCTCTTCTCCTCTTCCTAACCTCGTTCTCTCTCTCCGTCTGCTCGGCTCGACTCGCCTCGACCAGCACGTGGATAGAGATAGAGATTTACGGGTATGTGTGGCTCCTCTCCATGAGAAAAGAACTGGTCGAAGGGAATGGATCAGCATCTCCTCCTTATATCCAACCACCTTTTATACTTCAACTACTACTACTAGAAAATATGGTTGATAGGTTTTTACGATAAAAAAGAAATCGTTATAATTAGGCCCCCCTTGTGCTTCTGCTGCTCGCATCCCTACCTACCTCCCCAACCTTCCTCTTCATCATCATCTTCATCCTCAACCACTTCTTCTTCTTCTTCTTATTCAACCTCCATTTATTTTAATTATGTTTATTGGCCTCTAAAACCTGGAAACTTACTTTAAATCTTAACTTAATTAACGTAAATGAAATTCGATTAGGCGGCCGACGCGGCGCGTGAGGCAACGATTTGAATATTATTCAATACTTCTTGGGCAACGACGGCACGACGTGCTCTCGGTATTATTATATTATTGTTTCGAGATTTCGTCCGCATTGCGGGAAGACGAGAAAGTTCTTCAACTCCATCCGAGAGAACCAATAATTATCCTCCGCGGATGCACCAGCATCATTTCAACATCTCCAGCTGAAAAAAAAAATATATACACAGACAACAATATTTACATTCAGCTCTTGTTGCAATTCATTCTACTTTTCAAAATTCAATTAAATATTGATTTCAATTTTCCAGCATTTGTAAATAATTGATTTTAATTTGTATTAAAAGTTTCAACGACAGACGTTAGTACTTTCACTTTTTATCAATACTTCTTCATATTTGGAAGTTCTGATTTGCAATGTTTTAAACTGCAGTTGGTATTTATTCTTAATTCGATCGAGAGATAGAGAGATAAATGCATAAGAAGCAATTAATCATTTAGGCGCAACTCTCAGACCATTTTCATTCTCCAATTTGGAACAGATCGAGTTGAGTAATTCTCCGATTAGATCTAATCTAAATATGTGAAATTAATGGCCGGTCAAGTTACGGGCCTCTCCCCTCGACGAGACAAGACAAGACTGGAGATTGAAGACGTGAGAGGAAAGAGGTGAAACAGAAAACGGAAAGGTAAAGGAACAAGACGAAAACACGACTTATCATTTAACCATCTGGTCCTGATCGCTTGGTCATAGTTAACGTCGATATCGGGGAGCAGTTTGATGGGTGATTGGTGTGTTCGAAGAGTTTCAATAATTAAATGGCATACTTGATACATCGACCGTATTAAATCCGAAGGTTTCTTTGCAATTGGAGATTTCAAAGCAGATAGCTTTTGCAGACGCACACACAATGTGATCTCAGTTTATTGATTGATTTACAATATATTCAATAATTAACGTGAGCGTAAATGATTTACAAATAATTTTAATCAATGTAAAAAAATAAATTTAATTTTCTGACAGCTTTGCAAATTGATTGACAGATTTAGTGTAAAAATCAGATGTATTTCCAATATTTCCATTGCGTACTAAATTTGAAAAATAACCTGAGGTTAAGTGAAATGCTCAAGTTGAAAATACCACACGTGCTAATTACCGAAGATACACGTAAGATCGAAAGACTGTGAGAAATTTGGTGCTGAAGAGAGAGAGAATTTAACAGTGCATATTTAACATTTCTTCACTGAATTCCGATGGGATTCGATCAGGAGGGTTGCTCTCGTTATTATCGGTGTCCTTTCTTGTGCGAGTTTCTTGCATCGTTCCTTTTTTTTGTTGGTTGTTATTATTGCTGTTGCTATAACTTCTTTTTTCTCCTCCCGTGATATTTAATTACCGTCGGCTTCGTGAACTTGCATTACATGTAATTATGAACGCTGCATCACACGCGGCTTCTGCGGTAGAGAGAAAGAAGTCGTTCGTTACAAGATGAGGAATTTTATCATTTCGAATCAGTCGTGCTTGAAAACCGACATGCCGGACCGCTTTTTTCCTTCCTCCTCTTCCTTCGCCGTTGGTTGGACTTCGTTTTTTTATCCTTCTTCTACTGTGTCTCATTTACTTCTTCTTCCACCATCCAGATCTCAGCTCGCCCGACAACCGAAGCACGTATGCGTATGAACATTTTCTAATAAGATTTTTCCAATTTTCTTCTCCTTACGTTCGTTTATTTCCTCTGATTGGTATATATGCAGATACGTGCACGTAAGAGACATGGGTTCGGTTCGGTTGCGCAACGTCGGCAACGTCGCCTCATGGGTCTCGAGGAGGTCACAGCGGGGACGCGAATGGTTCCCACTTTGGGTCCCCCGACGTTTTTATGGGCGCTGGGCTACCGTGCCGCATATTAAATGCGGCCCCATTCGAGAGCCACCAACTCGCATTTCAATTAACCAAAACCCACAAAAAAAAATAAATAAAGAACGACCAAACTACAAGAAGGTGCACGGACGAGAAATAAAGGATACCCATGAGGAGACATGGGAAAGGCCTGTACCAAAACTTTGTTTAACGATCGCTTCTATATAATACCTGTACAAATCGCGCTACCGATGTGTGAAACTGTCACAGACTTGTAAAGTCCAATATTTTATCACTTCTTCTAATAGTAAATTTCACTTGTATTAATGCAAGTTCTTTATACAAGTATGTTTTAAGCAAAGTATCACAATTACTTGCATTAATGAAAGTAATACATACAAGTACATCAATGATAAAGATAAGTACTTGATTAGTTCCAAAAATATAAATCTGAAGTATCTAAATTAATTAATTGGATTTGTTAATCAGTTGTAAATTTAAAGCTAAAATATTGAAAATGTTTATTCCAAATAGTGAAGACAAGTTTTAAATTTATTATTTTCTTTGTCAATATAAATCTTCTGGATTTACTCGAATCAGTATTATTTTACTGTCACAGACCTGAAGTGAACTTGTAAAGTCCAATATTTTATCACTTCTTCTAATAGTAAATTTTACTTGTATTAATACAAGTTCTTTATACAAGAATGTTTTAAGCAAAGTATCACAATTACTTGTATTAATGTAAATAATACATACAAGTACATCAATGATAAAGATAAGTACTTGATTAGTTCCAAAAATATAAATCTGAAGTATCTAAATTAATTAATTGCATTTGTTAATCAGTTGTAAATTTAAAGCTAAAATATTGAAAATGTTTATTCCAAATAGTGAAGACAAGTTTTAAATTTATTATTTTCTTTGTCAATATAAATCTTCTGGATTTACTCGAATCAGTATTATTTTACTGTCACAGACCTGAAGTCAACTTGTA